CATACTATCAAACTGCTACCTAATACTGATAATGCTAACCTAAATTGAATTACTTCCAATGGAAATTAAACAAATGTTGGTCCAAAATGTGATTTCCCTATATAAACTATAGCAAAGTTTACCCCCTCCCCAGGGGAAAACGTGAGACCCCAGGGTCATGAAATTCACAATTTTGGTAAAGCACCTTAAGACCCTTCCATCTATGAAAAGTATTTGATTCTACCATATCTTGGTCTTGAGAAGAAGATTTTTGAAGATATCAGACCTGACTGATCCCCCGGGGCTGATGAATTGACTGAAATTTCAAAAATCTTATTCCCAAAGACCCAGATATGGTAGAATCAAACACTTTTCATAGATGGAAGGGTCTTAAGGTTTATGACCCTAGGGTCTCTGGGAGCTTGGGACTAAACTGGCCACCATTTTTGTTGACCTTTGTCCATGGAAGGTTCCTGCAAAATTTCATTGAAATTAGTTCCGGGGTTTTGGAGAAGAAGTCGAAAATGTAAATTGTTTACGGACGCACGACGGACAAAAGGCGATCGCAATAGGTGACCTAAAAATAAAGCGCCAGACTGGGATTCGAAACCAAGGACCTCTGAACTCAATTTAGATGGACGCTCTAAGCTATTGAGCTAAATATGTGTACCTGGTCACCGGATTAATTCAAATACTTGACAGTTCGTGTTCATCTTAATTAACTTTTTGAAACTGCATATGACAAAACACTATCAAAATAATTGTATTAATATTTAAACAAACAGTTAAATGGTTCCAAGAACCAAGTGCTTTAAAATGAAATTCCTAAATTCTAGATGGCGTTTTGCTTGATCACCATGAAATACTTAAAACTAAATTTATTATATATGCATCTAGTTGCATGTTATTTTTATTTTCCATAAAATAGGGACATGTACTGACACTTCATGTTTGTAAAGATACCAAGATTTTACTTTAGAATCACCAAGACAGTGACTCATCCTAACTTAATTTAGGTTCATTGTTTAGTAATTAAATTGCTGGAATGGGGTCGCTATGGACTTTGAAAACTAAATTATCATCTGAAGAATGTTTATGTTAGTTATGCGAACATGTTTTCTGCTTTTACTCTCAATTTTTTTTTTCATGTGCTGGACACATACAAAATATGATATGCATACACTATATTATCAATATCATAACTAAATCTTCTTCTTTATACGAGGGCTCCATCAGTTTGATGATTATGCCATCGGGGGTCCTATTGTAGAGGCGTGACGGGGTTATTTATTAACATAGTATATACATCAACATTGTATTTGAGTTCTTTACTTGTGTACTAGATATAGTGGTAATCACATAATGTATGTTTTGCCTGTCCAGCACCCTCTGTTCCTATTGGGGTTTTCCATCGTTGGAGGAAACTTTCACAAGACAAGACGACTGCCCTTAAAATCGGTTACCAAATGGCCTATATCTTCCTATTGTATATATATTTAAACGAATGTTGACGACTTTCATTCGAATATAATGGTATTCAATGTTAAGTAATACATTTACAGTACGTATACACATAAAGTAGTCCCTCACGAGCTACAGCTACAGTTATGTACAAGTGAAACCGTACAAGTATAAGATGTTATTGCGAAACAAGCTGTCAAATCTAACCTCGGGTGTGTCCCCGTATAAAAGTTCCGTATTCTTAAGCAAAAACCATTGTTTCTTCCATTTCTTTGACATTTTTGATCGCTTCATCAACCATCCTTTCAGCTCTATGTGTGGTACACTGTCATCGTTGTGACTACTGGTGGTATTTAAGCTGTTTGTCCGACTATCAGAAGACTCCGAGGAAGCCATTTCTATCGTCGACAAATTTTGTTTTGCCGTAAACCGTTCCGGATGTTTGTCGCTACAATACACACAAAAGTGTTTTAACTTACTTTTACATTTATAAAATACATTTGTGATAAATAACTATAAATATTATTGATAAATGGTTATACTTCTATAAAAATGTGAAATTAATCGAAAATACTTTGTACGACATCAAATATAGATAATGTCACGTGATTGACTAGTGAGGCGATTTGGGAAAATAAAGTTCCGTTGACTTGCCGGAGTGATATTGTGTGTAGCACCTGCTGTCCACGTAATCCTACGGACAGACAGTCACACATATAGCCAGTCGGCTTACAGACACACCACGTATCAGTGATGATGGCGAGCTAACTTCAACCGATATTAAATCAAGTTGTTTTATATTTGCGAAGTAGTATATGCGTTTACCCCGGAAGCTAACAGGAACATATTTTGATGTCATCTTGAAGTGGTGACATTCGCTTAGTTGGAGGGAGAGATCGAACACATGGCAAGATGGAAGACGGGAGGAAAAGTTTGACTTTCCAAATGCAAATAGGTCTTACTCGAGACCAAATAAATGTTGATGGGGAACTGACTTTAGCGAGCTTGAAAGACATCGCCTGTTCGTTTGTGGATAGAAAGGTGAGATATGTATGTGCTGTCTGTGTATTGCGATCAGTGTGTATGTTGAGGACAACGGAAGTATATCATCTTGGTTTACCAAATCGTGAGACACACCCTCCACCCAAACAATACCTCCCGGGTCAAGTGTTCACTTAATCATAACGTCCTTGCTATTTTTGAATTTACGTTGAATGGGATCGTGAATTCTTGATTGTCACTACTGTATGGTCCCACTGAAGGTAAACACTGTATACATGTACATGACATACTCTAACATCTTCCATTCAGAAGTAATGTTTCATATGTGATAATCAGTCAAATACAAAATAGGGTTATATAAAACTAAACTGATTAGAAAATACTAATTCCACTTGTTTTAGCTTTATGTTACATTACCTAATTGGTGCTGTTTTTACAACTGATAGATAATATAGACAAATTTATTGAAATGCTTATTCACATTTTTATTTTTGAGATGGAATGTACAAGTTGTAATGTAGAACTATTTTACTCTGCTCGCTGATTCATCTTAAAACTCAAATAAATGGAATACAAAATATAAAAATTCTCATAAGACTCCAGGTCAAAACACAACACAACAATTAACATTATACAAGGAAAATGCTGTTGGAGGAGTATTTTTGAGAAATATTGTGAAAGAAGAAAATGCATTGGTATATATCATTCAATCTTTGATTTTCTGGTGTTGAAAATTCAGAAATGATGTTAAAATGAACTGATAATAAGTTTTAACATGAAGTATTGTAAAGTGTACAAAGTTAGTGAGAGAGTGAGGTGTTGTTTGTATAGATCTATTCATTGTTCATTTAGTAAATTTACTATAGAAGAAAATGGAATCATAAACTGAAGATAAACCTCCCTTAGCCTGCATGTTGTCCTATATCAGGGTGGGTCTAGTTCCAGCCCTTTGACCATTTGCAAATGGCTGGGTGTACATACTGCAAATTTATAATGATAATGATATAGTTTCTGCATTGGATAACAAGTGCAGAGCGGTGCTTGTCATGCTGGACTGGTCAGCTGCATTTGACGTCATCGACCATGTTATACTTTATAAACATCTGGAATACTCTTATGGAGTGACTGATACCGCACTATGCTGGATACAGTCGTATCTGAGTGAACGACGACAGTGTTGCCCCTCACATGACAAAGTACTAGATTTCGCCGTTCCTCAAGGGTCGGTGTAAGGATCACGGAAATATTGTATGTACTCCAAACCGGTTGGAGAGATTTGTCGTCGCCGTAGCCTTCGCTATCATTGCTATGCTGATGACACACAAATTTACATGGTCATCAAACCACAGGACAGTTGGAATACAGTCTCAGAAAGTCTGGAAGCTTGTCTGATAGATATCAGTATCTGGATGACCAAACAACAACAGGCTTCAGCTTAATCAGGAAAAGACGGAACTAATCGTCTTCAGTGTTCCCTGTCACTTTTGTAACTGTTTTTTTTTGTACCCCCATACCTCTCAAAATGGGAGTATGGCTGCATATTTTAGGGGTACACCTTATCTAAATCCCCATGGGTATGTAATATCATCACAACTTGGTAACTAATTGTAGCAATGTCATTTTTACATTTTATTTTTTATTTTATAATATTTCCAGTTTCATAGAATAAAAACACCAAGAATCGCAGTCAGTAACAGAATGAAAATTGGGTAAGGAGGCAGTACCCAAATCAGTTGAGTACTCAAATCAGATCAGTACCCAAATCGGAACACTTTTGGCAAAAATAATTATACTTCAATAAATCATTTAAATGTGCCAAAAAATCAGTTATGACAATGATGTTTTCTTAGCCATGCACCAGTTTATTTCTACAGATGATTCGTTTTTAAGTTTGAATTGCACAAGAAAACGTAATTCAAACTCAAATGTCAGTGTTTTGATTACGTTTTTAACAAACGGTGCATATTACTGAAACAGAGATCATGTAACTTACCCACACTGGGCACAGACAGTCATTATGTAAGAACATGAACTGAAAGTTGTCTTCTTTAGCTGACGACAGAAATCCAAATAGTGTCTGATGTTTTTTCCGTCATTCATGATCAATTACGCAGTATAGTGTTAATCAGCCCCGAGGATACCGATAGTCCAGCTACCCACTTGGGTATTATCGTAGAACACTGCGGACTCATTACTTCCCGTAGTAATTATATTCGCCGCTTGGTGCGTTGCATGCATTGTTTACTACCAGACTTCCGTCATTCGCGGGAAATTCTGTCAATTGCTTTCAATTTTCTGAATATCATCATTTAAAATACAAACATGCTACAAAAATGACTTAACATTGTACAAAATTATTGTGCGTACACTCACGCTTAGTATGAAGAATTTACGTGTGCAAAGGTGTCTACTACGCGTGATTGGGAACACTGCGTCTTTTCCCCAAAGTGTCAGCAAATAATGGCTCTCCAGCTCAAGGTCTATGCCAGAACTATTGAGACTGTTCCAGCTGTTTAAAACCTAGGGGTATACTTTGATAGTTCACTGAACATGGAGAAACAAGTGAACGCTATTGCCAAATCCTGTTACTACCAGATCAGGAACATCGGCTGTGTTCGGCAGTTTATAACTGCAGATGCGTACAAGATTTTGGTGCATTCACTTGTTACCTCTCGGTTGGATTATGGTAACGCCCTGCTCTGTGGTATATCTGACAAACTAACTAGTCGTCTGCACAGGGTCCAGAACACTGCAGCACGGCTAGTTACTCGTACTCAAAAGAGAGAGCACATCACACCTGTGCTTTATTCGTTGCACTGGTTACCTGTACGATACAGGTCGCAGTACAAAATTCTGGTGTACACAAACAAGTTACCTCTCGGTTGGATTATGGTAACGCCCTGCTCTGTGGTATATCTGACAAACTAACTAGTCGTCTGCACAGGGTCCAGAACACTGCAGCACGGCTAGTTACTCGTACTCGAAAGAGAGAGCACATCACACCTGTGCTTTATTCGTTGCACTGGTTACCTGTACGATACAGGTCACAGTACAAAATTCTGGTGTACACAAACAAGGCACTGAATGGAACAGCTCATCAGTACTTACAGGAGCTTGTTACCCTGTATCAGCCGTCACGATCACTGCAGTCAGAGTCAGCATCTTTGTTGTGTGTCCCAAAATCTCGTACTGTGACCTACGGAAACAGATGCTTTGGGAGGGTTTTGGCTACGTCATGTAAATACCACCCTTTTATTTGTTCAATTTTGTGCACATTGCTTGCTTAAATGTATAAAAGTGATTGTAATTTAAGCCTTTTTTTTGTTTTCACAATTATAACCATTATTATTATCCATATGTTGTAAAGCGCTTTAGAGTAATTTTACAAATTATATAGGGCGCTATATAAATGTTGTATATTGTTATCAGTTACATTGACTGTCAAAGGGTCACAGTGATTTCTTTTGCTCAGTTTTACTGCCGAATACAGACTGTTTCCCCTAGCTAAAAGTGCCTTGTTTTCATGTGTGAATGTCAATTGATGGCCACACGCATGGTATACCATACAAGTGTACCAAGTGTATATTGTAGTATCTAGTGTTACACTGTCAATTAATTGCAACATCATTGTTAACGGTATTTAATACATGAATAATTCAATGATACCTGGTACAAATGTTGATCTACATGTTGATAACTAATGTAACATGTGTATTGTGTAATTAGATTTTCTGAAACTAATGGAAACAATGTTGTAAATATTATATACCGTATATCAATAAATAATGTGCCCTGACATACTTCACTGCAAAGTTGCACATCTATACATTGGAAATTAATCACTTTTAACATAATTAACTTAATACCGGTTTACTAGATACAAAAACTGCTGTTAGCACCCTAGCTCCTTGAAGTCTCCGTTGAATAATTAGTTAGGGGAGCAGCTTTTACAGCCACACCTTACAATGTGACCCCCTTATACTTCCGTATGTGGTCGCTGAGTTCCACTTGTGCGTTTGTTGTTCCATTCCCCCTAACTGGAGGTGAGTAAATCATAAACTCAACTGACTGTAGTTTAGTGGAAAAAATACGTTAAAACAATTATGAAACAAAAAATTAATGAAAAATATAACTTTCTTTGTTTTGAGGAAAAAATGCAAGTTCAATACTAGCAGTCCTTTCCCCCATTCAGACAATTTTCATATTTGAAGGCTGATGAAAATAACTGAAACTGTAGTCAAAATAAACAATATGGATAGATAAAGGATTTACTGATTACTTATCATATGATTGTATGTACCAGTTAAAAACGTCTCTTGATTCTTCAAACAGGAAGTTGCATTGGCATGACTAATAACCGGACAGATTCTAAGGTCTACTTGCCCAGGGCAAGTGCTTTGTAAATAAAATTATGCCCCTGGGTCAGTTAGTGAAGTGGACAGAGGGCCCTTGCCTTTTATAGCTGGGATTTGATTCTCTATCAGAGAAGAAATTGTAATTGTTCCCCTGCATACTTCCATCTGAGCTAACAAGATTGATTAATATCAGTTAATAAAACCTGTTGGATATTAAATACCTGTTGGAGTTAAACATGTACATATTCTGCTTGTTATGGATCTGTAATGCCACACAATACATATGGTATATCATTCTATCGAATACAAAACTTCAACAGTACAGAAATCGTAATACATGCACCAATACCATACTGTACACTCCACTCTATTGGCTGGTAGGGTTAGTTAAGAAGGGTAAAGTGTCCTGGTAAAGGAAATGACCACCTACTTTCATGTGTGTATTCAAAATAAACTTACCACCTTGCAAGGCCTATTGCAGTCAATAGCATGAGCAGCCATGGCTCCTCCATCTGTGTTCAGTGATGCCCTATATATATATTCAAAGGACAGACATTCATGTAAATGAATATGCCTTAAACTTAGAGAAAAGGGATTTGGGCATGTACCAGTTCATGAAGTTAGTTCGATAAAATGAAAGTTAAATCTTGAAAAAGCAAGTCAGAAACTTGCATGCAGATGAGT